GAAGATACCTAGAGGTACAGGCAAAAACGAAGATCAAAGTAAATTTAAACACTTTAAGGTAAAGGTGAAGAGGAATATGCAAAAATAAAGATAAATATAAAGAAAACAACCTACAAATTCGTTTTTGACTATATTGGCCAATGAAGATCTAAGTGTCCGGCCATTATCAACTCTACAACCAAAAAAAATAAAAAATGAAGAAAAATATGAGGGTGAGGATATTTTTATCGATATAATAATCGATATTGCTATCGATAAAATAATCGATATTGTTATCGATACTGTTATTGAAATTACCGCTATTGTAATCGATATAATAATCAATATAATAATCGATATTGTTATCGATACAATAATAGATATTGTTATAGGTATAATAATCGATTAAATAATTGATTTTGTTATCGATTTAGTCATTTATATTGTTAACGATATCTACAATAATCGATACTGATGATTGTTATACATATCGATGAATTAATAAATTTTTGCAATCGTTGTATTTTTCTATATGTTTATGGATATTGTTATCGGTATTTTTATCGACACAGTTATCAACAGGGTCATCGATATACCAATCGGAACATGGAATGTGATCACATTACGTGACGTCACATCACTTTTATCACATGAAATGAAGAGACATCACATGATATTACACCACATAACTTGATATCACATCACACGATATCACGTGACATGACATTATATGATATGACATCACATTATATGGCATGAAATCACATGACTTGACATCACATGATATGACATCGTATGACATGACATGGCATTACATGACGTGGCATCACCTGATATGACATCATATGGTATGACATGACATCAGAGGATATGACAACACATGACATTACATCCCATCACATCACATAAAATCACGCTACATTTTATAACGTCATCGCACCTCATCTCATCTACGTGAATAGAAAAAGAAAAGAATATAAGCAAAGATGTGATGTGAAAGAGAAAGGTAAAGTTACCGATTTCAAAACCAAAACCACCGTTGGAA